GTGAGCACCTATAGATACTTTGACATACATTTTTTAAGTAATCTCAATAATTTTCTAAAATATTAATAGTTATTACCCTCATGTTCAAAATCATGAAAAAGGGGGAAAAGTGAGGCTCAAAAAAAGATTCAATTAGTTGGCCAAACTCACCCATCAAGAAGGAAGAAAGCTGGGATTTCAACTTAACAGCCCACATTCAAGAAACGACACCGACTTTGATATTCCCAATTACCAGAGCTATAATTAGCATATGTGTGAACCTAGAACATATATTCCAGGAGTTTTAGGTGCCTTTTTCAATGACGACTACATCCAACATGCAGTGAATCTCCCTTAAAAATATTAAATTATAGCCTATCATAGAGTACCTATTTTCTTCTTCAGACTGTTTATATTTTGAAGTCTAAAAACTGTTCCCTAAATATTTTGCATTTATATCACTTATTTATCACTTACCAGATCTCCTATAAAACACTGTGAAGAAGTGAAGTCTAAAAGATAGCACAGCAAATTAATATATTACATTTCAGGGTTATTTGTTTATTTGCCATTTGAGTTTCCATATTTTAAAGACAACTTTATTAAGATAGACTGGTTATCCTTATTACTTAAAGTATATTTACTATTATCTAAATGTCTTTCGCCACTTGGGATTGTAGGCAGCATAGCTGGGGGATGAGAAATGCACTAATGGAATTCATTTGCAGTTCATTGCCAGATCGAGTTTGGCCTTGATGAGTTCTCACCCGAGGGTATTCTCATTTGTTGTGAGTGATATGATGTTTGTTAGCTAATAATCAGAAAGGCCATAACAGGTAGGGCAGCCAGGGCCAAACACATGGCAAGTTCCACATGCCCCAGCTGCTCTCTGAACAGAGTGGTAGGTAGAGGCAGAGTGTGTGTGGCAAAGATACAGATGGGGGAACCCAGGCATTGCCAAAACCGGTCATAAATCTGACACGATGTGCAAAATGGCATCTAACGCAGACTGGAGACCTGGCAGGAAAGGAGGCCCTTTCCCCTTATCGAGCAGAAGCCTCTTTCTCCCTTTCTACAAGCAGAGTGAGGCCCTATGTGAGACTCTAGGACCCAGTGGATGGAGAAATAGCACCCTCTGTATGGTCAGTGAAGTGCAGGAAAATGAACGTCCATGAAGCCCACTCACTGAGGTCTGAGATCCAGACTGTTTCACCAGCAACGGTAATGTCCATCAGTCTTAACTAAAAACTAGGAATATCTTCCTACAAAGGTGTATGTTATAAGGTGACTTCCTTCCTTCCTTCCTTCCTTCCTTCCTTCCTTCCTTCCTTCCTTCCTTCCTTCCTTCCTTCCTTTTGTAAACATTCATTTTCACTTATTATATTCTATGCATTAACTAGATGCATAGATTAGTGTGTGTATATATATATCAGATATATACATACATATGTGTGTGTGTATATATATATTATATATATATATCCTTGCTTTGATATTTTGTTATGCTTCATACCTCACTTGTTATTTGAACATTGTTGGCCAATAATAACATTTTTTGTACTGCTAATCATCTTTGATATGAGAGTCCTGGGATGTTTTATATATGGATTTATTTGCCAAAGTTCTATTTGGTCTGCTATGCCTTGAAGTTATTGTGTTTCCATTTTTGTGTGTGTATGTGTTTTTTGTTTGTTTGGTGGTTTGTTTGTTTGTTTGTTTGGAGAGGGGAAGGGAGGGCAAAAGAGAGGAAAAGAAACATTGATCGCTTGTTGCCTCTTGTGTGCCCCTAACTAGGAACCTGGCCTGCAACCCAGGCATGAGCAGTGACCGGGAATCAAACTGCTGACCCTTTGGTTCACAGGCTGATGCTAAACCCAATGAGCCATACCAGCTAGGGCATGTATATTTTTTAATAAGAATAGGCTGTGTATAGATTTTCCTCACACATCTTGTTTTTTTGCCCTCTTGTGTGAGTAGCAGGAAGCCTTAGTGAATGTAGAACTCCTTGAATTTGCACAGCTCTTTCCTGTACAGTAAGAATGTTTTCAGCTTCTGAAATGGCTGCAGCAAGCAATGCTTCTTTCTTTCCTCACTTTTTTCTTGTGTGCATCACTCTCCATTCCATTTCCCTGATTTACTTTTAAATCATTTCCTGACATTACATCAGATACTTATTTGTTTGTGTTGTCCCCCCACCCCCCACAGCTGGAACAATGCCCTCTCCAAAACCAGTGAATGCAAAATGAGTATACGAGTGAATTTAATTTAAAGGAAATCACTTACTTTCTGCCACTTGGTCCTTGGTTTTTATTTATTCTTAAGCAGTACATCAATAAATGCATGCTGTCTAGTCCATGTTGGGAATTTCCTTCAGTGTTCATCTTCAGAGATATTAAGGTCAGAGGCTTCTATCTATACGTAGATCCTCTAAAGATTCAATCTTTTATTCATTCAACAAATATTGATTGAGACTACTATATACTAGTCCTATTCTATTCTAGGCACCATACCGAGGTGGGGGGTGGGGTGCAAAAGTCCCTCCCATGAGGACATCATAGATGAAGAGGGACATACAAACAGTAATTGTAATTGAGTGCCCAGATGTCAGGATAGAGATCTGTATGACATATTGGGGGAGCAATGACAAATCAGGCTCCCCCTTTTCCTGAGGGAGACTGGCAAAGGCTTTGAGAAGAACAGTGACATTTTCAGTGAGTCTTGAAGGCTAAATAATAAAAATCATTTTTCTTTTTTTTATAATCTACCTAATTAAACCTATATTTCAAAAGACCCTCATTAATCTGACATGCTTTATTCATTGGACATTGATTAACTACTATGTACCTTCCACTGCGCTAGGCCCCTGGGTTACAACACAGAATAAGAGAGGCATGACATCCCATAACAAAGAATAACAATAATAGGCAATTATTTTCGATAAGAACTAGAAAGGAGAAACACAAGGTAAGGGATTCATGTACAACAAGATTGCCTAAGCTAGCCTGTGGAATAAGAGAAGGTCCCCTCAAGGAAATACTGTTTTATGTGTCCAAGTGTGCATGAATTTATCCCCATCTGTTCGCTAAGATAAAGAAGAGTAAGGCAGTTCCATCATGAACCGTAGGGACAAACGAAGCCCCTTGGCACCTTATTTTGGCAGAGATAGGTCTTGTGGGCAAAGAGGGAGGGCTGAGTTCTTGAAGCCATTCAAATATTTTCACATGGCAGAGCTCATTAACTCATTGTCAGTTCCAAGGCATGTTAGGCACAGAATATTTCAGCGCCTTCCAAGGCGATCCATGCTGGCCCATTATTTGCCTGTCAGACACTGAATTCTGTCTGTTCCTACCTACTACCCACCTCATTCTGAGTTGTCTATAATCCATTCCTGTCTGCTACACTGTTCTTTCTTGTATATGGAAGGAATCATGAGTTTTTCAGTGTTTAAAGCATATTGCACTTAATGTGTTTGTTTTCTATGTTCTCATTTATTAGACACAAATTCAATGGATATTTTTGCCAAGTCAGTAGACGTGTAGTGATTAAGAGGAAGAACTCCAGAGCCAGGCTCTCCTGGATTCAGAGCTGGAGCTTATGAGTTACCAGCTCTGATGACCTTGGACAAATTATTCAACTCTCCTATAGCTCAGGTGTCTCATCTGTACAGTTAGGATGACAGGGTCAATTTAGAGGCCATATTCAAGAGCTGCTTTAGACACAGTCTGGCTGTGTATGGCCAAGTCCCTGAGACCTTCAATTTCCTCACTTATAAAAGGAAAGGAAAGACATCTATAAATGATTCCAGTTTTAAAGTTCTATAGTTTAATTTCCATCACCCGTGTGCCATTCATGATATTGCCAGCTTTATCCATCTAAACAGATAGTCCATAAGGGGGGAATGTAAAACATGGGAAGTCTTAAACATTGAATGATTGAGTTTATCTGAAACCACAGGATATACATGGCAACGAAGGACATGTATAACCTCACATTCTTCTGGGGAAATGTTGAAATAAAGAGTAAGGCAAATAAAACTGGCACAGGATGTGGTGGGAAGTGTGCACTTTGACCCCCAGATGTCCTGGGTACCCAACCAGTGCCACGTGTGCCAGCTGTGTGTGCTGCAGGGTCGGTTACTGTGCCTTGCTGACCTTTCCTTCCTCACTGAGAAGCAAGAGCAATAGCACCTATATTGGGGGTCTTGTGAGCAGGAAAAATGCTCTGATAAGTGTCTGACACCCAGTTTTTAATAGATGATGATCACTATTGACTTTTTATTCTTCATTGATGGTTCTCAGTCTTCAGTCACCAGTGCCTGAGCTGGTGACAACTGGTCTCATCTAGTTCCTTATTTTAAATGGGAATGTACCGGGCCGTGTGCTATAAGCATAATGAAGAAATGTAAGATGTAGCCTCTGTCATCCGGGAGCTTTCAACCTATGTGAAGGCATGATGATTTAAATGGTCATTACACATGCATTAGTTCAAGATAACGAGGGAGAGAGGTGCCAATCATAAAGAAGGGACAGTCAACCAGTTCAGAGGAGAAATGTAGCACAGGCAAACATGTTGAAGTAAGGATTTATTATGCAAATAAAGGTAGCATTGCCATGTAATGAAGTAATGACATTGTGGTGTGTGCATGTCACACCTTGTTGGGCACAGCATCCTCAGTCATTTCTCAGTATTGCAACTCACATACTGAGTTAAAAAAAAGTCACTCCCAGGCTGGGCAAACCTTATCATGAATTCTATTACAATTTTTTATTTAAAGTGACTTTTTATGTGACTTTAAAGTTTAATATGGTAGCCTGAAATCTATCTGAAATGATTAATCATTGCTTTCTCTAATTTTCTTGATGAGTTCAGTGCACACTACTCTTTAATTGGTCATCTCTCCCACATGGTATCTTTTAAAAGGATTGTGGAGCCTCAGAAATTTGTGTTTTTGTTTTTGAAGGCACTGGTCTTTTTTATCAGACAGCTCTCCAGCTTGACCTTCTCAAACATTTCTTCTGCAGATTTTTATTGGTGAGATATCCATGTATTTCATAAAGTCAACTAGAGAATCTCTGATTGCCCAGGAGAAAACCATTCTAACCGGAGAATGCTGTTACCTGAACCCCTTACTCCGGAGGATCGTACGATTTGTAGGTGAGTACAAGAGCGTGCCGAACTGAGCCTCCCACCTCTGGGTAAAGCCTGCTACACTTACTAAAGATGAACCCCCTTGAGCACGGGTGCTGTGAGGGTTTTTCCAAGTGCAGAGACTGAGCCTGATCAGAATGCCAAGTCAGGGTTTTGATCCATGAAGTGTAGAACTTATCAAATTGTCTTATGAATGATTTCAGCTTTTTTTCCCCCCACACACAGTATTTATCTGAGATTCCCTCTGGACACAGAATTTAATATTGACTGGAGATTGCCATATACTGCTTTGGTGAATCAGGCAAGGGTAGGGGGCAAAAGGGAACATCCATAGAGTGAATTTAGAAATAATCGTATTTCCTCACGAAGCTTTTCCAACAAGTAATTTTGGTATGCAGAGAACTTAACAAAGTATGAGAGATATACTCCTTCAGGTTCTTGAAAATAACCTGTTTTCCAACCAAAGTTGAAAGACAAATAGTTTAATTATTGTTCATGACAAGAAAAATTAAGGCATGTTCTACATCCTTCCTTCTAGAACTTCTACAAAAACTTCTGGGGTGTTATGGATGATGATTACAGTATGGGGATGAATGTGTGCCTGGAGAGAGGAAGAATACAGATCTTGCAGAGTTCTTTCTTCTCTCTCTCTCTTTACTGTTGTTCAAGTACAGTTGTCTCCATTTCCCCACCACTCTCCCAACAGCCATCCCACCTCCCACCCTGGATCCTTCCCTTCTTTGACTTTGTCCATGTGTCCTTTATGGATGTTCCTGAAAACCCTTCCCACTTTCCCCCTGTTATCCCTTCCCACCTCCCCTCTGGTTACTATCCATTTGTTCTTCATTTCGATGTCTCTGGTTATATTTTGCTTGCTTGTTTGTTTTGTTGATTAGATTCCACTTACAGGTGAGATCATATGGTATTTGTCTTTTACCACCTGGCTTATTTCACTTAGCCTAATGCTCTCCAAGATCTTGCAGAGCTCTTACACAGTACATACTCAATAAATAATCATTACAGTGTTCTAATGATATCTTAACGGAAGCCAGGATAAAACTCCCCAAAATGTGAACATGGCTGGTAGGAAAACCAGCCACGATACCATTTAGAACATATAGAACTGACAACCGAGAAACTTAAGGCCAAAATACAGCATGCTCTTAGCTCTATTGGTTATCCTTAATCTTTTTTTCCCATTGTAAAGAAGGATTGAATTTCTTTAACTCATGAGCAAATGATCACATCAAAATCAAGTATGCAATAACTAGTATGATTAGAGTGGAAGTGAAGGAGATAGTGGAGCAACCTAAGAAAACCTAATTTGAAAGCAGCAACCCTTCACATTCATGTAGTCTCCAGCATTTACAGATGTGATTTGCAGAATGACCTGTGGCAGCCTGTGGTCAGCTCATCTGTGCACACCCTGATCAGAATGATGTCACTGCCATCTGGTCTACTCACCCAAGCAATGGTGGTACCTTTCAAAGATTTTCAGAGTCTGGCCACTTCCTAGGACAGTGGCTAAATAACAAATCATCAGAAGAGAGGAAAGAATATTTATTATACAGGACAACAGACTGGACACTTTCTATACACTGTATTATTTATTCCACCTGCCACCCTGTATGGTAGGTTACAGTCCTAACTGTACAGATGCAGAGTCTGAGGATACAAAATGGGACACAGTAGCTTTTCCCAAGAAGAGAGAGAGTCACTCTACATACACATGTACTCACTTTGTTTCATGAGGGCAGATTTTATGCCCACTGTCTGATCTGCTTTCTGCACATGTAATTAAAGCAAGTTATTCAAAGCAGAGGGTTATTAGGTCACAATTAAATGAATGTATCTGTTAAAGTCACTGTTATTTTTCCTTAGTGAAGATCAGTCATACCTATTTTCAACCCACCTCAGCTGGGGCAGAGTCCAAAAAATGGAAATTAATTGGCACCTGTCATGTATATAGGCCTGCCTCTCTGCATTGGCAAGGCAAGTCTTCGTTCACTAAGGAATATCAGTAGGCCCCCACCATCCAGTAGTGAACCCTGCAGATTGCTTGTTGTGGTACCTGAAATTCCCACTTGAGTCACTCTGTATTGGGCTGAGGCCTAGTTTCAGGAAGACCACTATTAAAGTAGAAATGTCTCACCGTGGAGGAGCATCCAAGTGCCATTTTAATAATCAATGACACATTGATCCATTTTGGTCTGTCATAAACGAACAGACGCCAGGATCCTGGGAGCATAAGCCAGGGACATGCAAATGAAACCACTTAGAGTTCAGCAGCCTGAGATGCTGGTAATAGGGAAGGGATGCCAGAGGAGGGAGACAGCCAGTGGGAACAGGTAAACCTTGGAGAATTAAGGGAAACAGCATTGAAAGGGGTGTGGAGGGGTTGCTGGATAAAGAAGCACTTGCTTCATACTTTCCCTCTTTTGTTTTATGACACCCAGGATCTGCCCAGTTGCTTAAACAAAAGACCTGGAAGTCACCCTAAACCATCTGGGAACCTGTTTGAAATGTAAATCTTTAAGCCTCATGTCATAACTACTGAATCAGAAAAACTGGGGATGGGGCCTAATAGTCTGTTTTATGACAAGTCATCCAGGTGATCCTCACGCATGCTGATGTTTGGCAGCCACGGGTTTAGGCCATTAAAATTTCTTGCCCCTGTAAGTGATCCCTTCACATCTTGTCTTGCAACTTGGCTGCATTTACCCTAGCCTTGCAAAAACACCATTCATTGATCATTCTGCAGATTTTTCTGGAGAAAAAATATGACCAAGTCATGTCCCTGCTTAAAACCTTTCAATGCATTCCTAGTGTTTTTAACAATTGATGCCTTGTCTCGGTTACTGCTTATGTGCTGCTCTTTCTGCCCAGAATAAGCCATTGCCACCCTCTCACCATCAAAACTGACGAGTTCTATTCATCCTTCAGAATGCTGCTTGTACATTACCGCTTTAGTACTCCAGAAAGCTAGCTTCCTCGTATTCCAGGCCCCTACCAAACCTTATACCTGTGTCTTTTATAGGCACTTAAGTCCTGTAAAAGATGCATTGCTGGAAGTCCATTATATGTAAGTTCATTATTCCTACTAATTTGTGATCCCTTGGAAAGCAGGGACTGTATCTTTTTCACTTTGTATCATTATTGCAAAATGCTTGGTACTTAGTAGGTTTTTAATAGGTTTCTCCTTTTTTTGGAGCAAAAATATACTCTTTTCAATCACAGATTTTCCTCGAATTGCTTCCAGAAATGCCCAGCCCACACCCCACTCCCACAGTCAATTCCCACACTGTTGCCTGTATCTGTGGGTCATTTATACCTGTTCTTTGACTAATCCCTTCCCCTTCTTTCCACCACTACCCCCCGCCCCTCTGACAGCTGTCAGTCTGTTCCATGTTTCCATATCTCTGGTTCTATTTTTCTTGTTAGTTTATTTTTTTCATTAGACTCCTCTTATAAGTAAGATCACATGGTATTTGTCTTTCACTGACAGACTTATTTCACTCAGCATAATAGTCTCCAGTTCCATCTGTGCTGTCACAAAAGGTAGAAATTCCTTCTTTCTGCTACATAGTGTTCCATTGGGTAAACGTAATCTTTAACGTACAAAGCAGAGCTCAAAGCGGCACTTTACCTCCCTAATTCCCTGTCTTCTCTAGTCTGTGTGGCATAGACTTCAACACATAGCCCCACGCTCCATTCCATGGGTCCAAATTAAATTTTAAATGAGAAAATGGCAAGAGTAGCATAGTCAAGGGGAATATATTTACATTAAACCATCTCCTCCTGTAGATAAATGCTACTGTGTTGGCCTTGACAGGAGGGTAAATTCCTCTGATTCACAAATCCAACAATATTCTCTCCCCCCCGAAGGTTATCATAAGAAATATGTGTCCTACCTCCCAGGCTTTGGGTGTAAACTCTCATAGTTCAACTCCTCTACCCATTTCCAAACTATTGTACAATTTCTTAAGTTTTATATACATGATGTGGGAAGAGAGGAGAGGGGTTGGCTGGACTAACAAATCTGACATTTTATAAAAACAAATGTAGTCAAATGAGCAACACATATTTGGATTTCTCCCTTTCCTCATTTCTTCCTTCTCCTTCCTGCTCTTCTCTTACCATTTCCTTTGACACTGCTTGAAAATGAACAACAATACACAGAGGTAAGTTCTCAAGAGAGATAACTTCCTGTGTCCCTTTTCAGCAGCAAAGCAAAATGAAGAGGTCACATTTTCCCAAAACTTCATGAAGATAAGTTCAGTTAAATTCTTTTCGTCCACAAATAAACATGAGTAAACATATTCTTGTAAATGTTAATTATTAAATAGTAACTTTTAAATCTAAGATTGAAAAGTAATAAAAAGATTAGACCCTCAGTCAGGGTTTTTGCTTTCTTTGCCATATAGAAGGAAAAGTAAATTAACTTTGTCTTCTGGAATAACTGCATCTTTTTTGAGTTAAAGAAAAAAAGGGACCCAAATGTGCCAAGATTAGACTGTCTGTTAGCACCTAAAATAGCCTGTCATCCAGAAGCTCCTTATTATGGGCTTTTCATTTGGAATCACATAGTTGCTCCATTGTTCTTGTAATAAAAATTTAATTAAATTCCAAGCAAGTCTTATGCCATTTAAGTCGATCTAAGAAGTCAATAGCAATGGAATAAATAGAATGTGCCATGGTAAACAGTTAATTCACGTAACACTAATTAATTGCCATAAATTAAGTGTGACCTAAATGAAGCGTGAATATTTTAAATGCCATTTCAAAGGTCACCATGTCCTGTGGTTGTAAGAATTAATACCCTGAGACAAACCTAATGTTAGCCTTTTCAAGAGCTAGAAAATCCTTCTCAATTTTGAAAGTCATTTAAATGTGCTTTATCTAAATAATTTATTTGATTCAAACAGTCCATTTCTACTTGCATTTGCTTTTTATACTTAAATTATGAACAGGGGGAATGATCATATTCATTCAACCTTCAACGAATA